ACTTTGCTATAAAATAGGTTATTGTGAGAGGCAAACATGCAGTTGCGGTCTAATTCATTATTTCAAACTATAACAGTAACCCCTAACTTTATTGCATAACTTTTCAGAATAGCGCTGAGAAGGTTACCACTTTTACAAGCTGTTGTTACTTTATTTTGAAACACTTATGCCCAGTTTTTTGTGCGAGACTACTTTGAGTAAATTCTGAGGAACAGATCTTGCTCAACGTTTGAGAAGCATTCTAGAGCCGTTTTCATGAAGCTCCGCTCTCTTAATGCTTCCTTGGCAATGACGAACAAGTTATCAATTTTCCTTTCTTATCGGTCGATGACCTGTAGCATTTCGATTCCGAGAAACTGTGACGCGACTTAGCAAAACAAGTTGAGTTCCACCTTTCTTTGTGATTGAGCCGTTTGTACAGGGTGCGTCAAAAGTCTGGGAGCCTAACTTTGCAGTATTGCAATTACAAAGGTACTGGTGGTTTTGATTTCATTTTTATGCCACATGACGTTGCGGTAATCCCCTACAAAATACACTTTATCTAGCTGGAAGTGGCTGCCATATTTTTTTGTAGGATTGGAAATTACCAAACTAGTATTCGCAAAGAGAAAAAACCAGAATTTTTAGTATTTAAAATTTTTGCTATAGCTAGAATTGCTGTTAATATTCCACGACACTTCGATACACACAATATAAAGAGACCTTGCGCTATTGGATCGTAGTTTTGCTTTTGCCAGGAGCTGTTCTTGCGTAAACGGAAAATAAAAGTTTGCGAATGTTACTTACGTGCCAGTGGAAATTCGTGTTCAGAACATATCCAAAAGCGGTAGAAGCGCAACGGGCACTGGGACCAAGGCTATATTTTTTCATACGTCTTCTAAATTAGAATCTATCGATTGGTCATGGGGACACTTTTTATACTATTTAAACGATAATTTTAAGTTTTTTCTTCGCGCAATTGCAGCCAAAATTCCAGTACACGACATACACATGCTTTCAATTAAAATCCAATATTTTTATCCCTAAGCAATGCAAAAAATTGTTTTGGAAGTATGTTGTAGATAAAATCTTGCTCTATCGTGCTGCACATTTGCCAATGTAAAAGAAGCAGTTATTGTGAAGGTGTGGGGCGAATTTCATTACGACTACCTGCGTGCAGCGGCAGGTGGACTTGCCAAGATTTTGTAAGGCCGCGTGGGGGCCAAAAGAGGCAATTTTGCAATTCAAGAACTGGGCTGTATCTGCTGTGGTTCGAATTATGTGTGCGCCAAAGTTTTTTTTTTTTAGGTACTTCTCATTTTGTACGAAAAAGTACTAGGCTCCCAGACTTTTGACGCACCCTGTATAAGATTTTAGCCCAACAGGTTAGCGTTATTCATAGATGTCATGACATCTACGAATAACGCTATCCTGTTCTCAAAACGAGATTATGATTTTCTGAATCATGTCATACCTTTTGTACAACCAAACCAAATTTAATCTTCTTGCCGCAAGAGCTTCTATAGAGTTTTTCAAGTTCGGTGTCTGCGCTAATTGAAGCTATCCAGTCTCTGTCCCCCTGAAAAATCCTTTTACTAATTCGTGGAAGAGATGCTTTGTTCAATGTACAAATGTTCAAAATAGGAGATACGTAGGTTTTCTTGATTTGAGGAACACTTTTGTTTTCGTTAAATCGCATACAAAAAGAGCAGAAGCATTCGCAAGACTCCTCACATTTTTGATCGCGCATTTTTTGACTACGCACTTGCCAAGTGTCTTTTTTATACTAATCTTTTTAAAGGGAATATAATTAGCAGTAAATCAGACATTGTCGCATCACTGTCAATTCAGAAGCAACCCATTTATTAGCTGTCACGAAACAAGTTCCGCGTAAGAAATCAAGCTTTAATGGGGTTGAGAGTATTATAAAATTAGCTTTATGATACCTTTACGACACCCAGACGGCTTTACTCAAGCAAGTAAAGGGAGAACCTGAGCAATTCAGGTTTGATTGTACGAAGTTTTACAGCTTGTATCAACTTGAAGATAGTATAAGGGTACAACTTGACGCTAATTAATCCTATCAATGTTTTTGTAGAATATAGTAACAATCATGTTTGCAGAAAAATCAATTTTTTTGTCATGACGCTCGAATAAAGGAAATACGCTACTTGATTTGCTCCTGCGCGTTTTTCAATCTTTGCAGACAAACTTCAGCAAATTTTCGAAAACGGGAATTGGGCGCGATAGCGTTAGCGAAGAAAATGCACTTATCCAGAAAAAATTTTGAAGATTCCATCCACATTACGCTTATAAAAGGAATCGTATTTTCACACTATGCCTAGCCCACATTTTCTCAAAGATGACCTCATAAATAGCCTGACTGATTATGTTGGCAACTCGCAATTTCAAAATTATCAAAGACCATTTTGCGTCTTCTAAATCATTCTTTACCAGTTTTTATTAATTTTGAGCGTCACCTTTCAAAGAGTAGTTAGCCCTGGTCTTCCACAACTTCCTAGATCACCCTGGTCGAATTTTGATAAGATTTTGTAAGCGCCTTCTTTTTGTCTCGATTTTTGCTACCCTTGAAAGCTCAATCAGATTATCGTAGAGCTCTCATCTTCGTCCGCAATCCATCTACATGTTAATCTGCAAAAAATTTCATTGTTTCAAGCAGGAAAAGCTCAGGCTCGCGGAGTTTGGTGGAAAGAATTAGAAGTGTGGAGGCCTTTTAATGGGCGATTTTGACCACATTGGTGACAAAGTTTCTGCAATTTTGAACTTTTGCAAACGTTTGCTTTTGATGGTGCAATTTCGCTAAAATATATACATCATAATCAATCTGCGGCCAATTTTCGCATGCAAATTTTTGGGCGTTGTTGGGCAAATCTGCTGAATCTACACATCAGCCTTACAGAAGTTTTTAGGTTGCAAACTCTTTTCCGTCAGTTGATTTTGTAATCCGTAATGAGATTCCTCGATGATGATTCTCTTACTTCAAAAATCCTATACCACGTCAACAAGAACGCTGCTCTGCCATTTCTGAGTACTAGTAAGACCGGAAACAGGGCCCTGCGCGGGTGGCGCTTTCACAAGCTGGATATCGTTTTTGGCCCGAAAAAAGCAAAGGAGAAGTCGTATTTTGGGGTCCCTCGTTTTCAATGCACAAGTAACGATATGGCACCAAATTTGCTGTGTAGTTGGAGGACCATGAGCGCAAAAAAAGTATGAAGAATTATGAGAAACTTATGTGAATTTAAAAAATGGTAAGTGTTTTTCGAAATTAGGCGGCTCCCGCGCCATCTGGGAGCCACCTGGGGTGGCTCCCTGCTTCCCTTCATATAATTTCCCGGATTTCTTTACATAAATGTGGACTAGGTCGAGAGTATTGCTACAAGTTCAAATCCGCTTCCAAAACCACCAAGGCACCGCTTCGATAAAGCCCCAAATAGGGTTCACAGCGTTATGATCGGCCTCGGAAAGCGCGCTCCAATCGCAATCGGTTATTGTAAATTGCAAAGTTTCGCAGCTGACTAGTAAATGAGTAGTATCTTAGATATATATAAACGTCAAAGTTTGTGCAGATCTTGACCCTATTTTTTATAGATTCCTTTGCGGATGAACCCATTGAGCTGAAACCTTGATGACCCGGGCTGGACCAGGAAAGCCAGGTAGTACTAGTATAATAAGCGCTGAGGCCGCCCATCTTATTATTTGTATATATCTGTTTGTCAGGGACTTACGGGGGTCAAAAATAGGGTCAAAGGGGAAGTCGTAAGGAATTTTGGCTTCAAGGGGGATATCGTTTTCAAAATTCTGAAATGCCACCTCCTGCCGAGCCCTGACCGGAAAACCACGGAATGGTAGACTGCAAAACAGGATTTTTCATTTTGTCGCTGTTCACTCTGGGGTTATTCAAACACAACCTGTTTTTTATTTCCGGTGCACAAACAAAAATATGGATATCCGTGTAGGAGATTGCGGTCACATTAACCTTTTAGTCATGCTCCAAATGCTTATTTCTGTTAGAGTTAGGTCTTTTTTTTACACTCAAACCCAAACCATGGCGTACTTAAGGGTATCTTCACTTTCCATCAAAGCAATCTCTCACATTTTTTAAAATTTTTATTCTCCACTTCAAATCTGCAATGCAGTTATTGTCTCTGAATTTGCACGAATACAAGAGCCAGCATGCATGCGATTTTCTACTACTATTTTTCATGTTGTTTCCAAGAGCCTGAAGAAATTTTAAGAGTATTTAGGCTCCAAAAAGCTTTCAGATTTTCTACAACTGAAGCATACGCTCGAGGAACTCTCATTTTCGCATTAGGTTGTAAAGCGAAGTATGCCCATTTCTCCGGGTGAAATCTTTTGAAGGTGTGGTACACACTAGCATATATGAGGATCTCAGAACCGCTAGGGCGCAGAGTCCACCATTCGTTTTTCATTTCTTCACCTTATTGAGAAACACACGGGTGTCTATACCACTTCTTATCCGAGAAATTTATTTCAGAGGAAGGGAGGGGAGGGGGGGGGGGGGGTGGGGAACGAGCCAACAAATTTTTTTTCGATTGAAGGACGTGGTGTTAGCTACTCCCTGTGAAAAAAGTTATGGAATCCTTCCAAAATTCTAGTACCCATGTACAACTCCAAGATGTTAAAGAAAGGCGAGGGGCGGCAGCAACACCTTGAAGATTTGTTTGCTGGTTTTTGCTGGGCTTCGCACTTTCAAAAAATTTTGCTATCTCTGTCGTATACAGTGGAAACAGGCTGTTGCGCGATTTCGTCTGCATCTTCTGATTATACAATTTTTCATTTATTTTTTACATTTGGCCTGACACTGCTGCCTTTTTAATGGAAAGAATGGACGTAGTAAAGTCATTTGGTAAGTTAGTGCAGCTCTGTACCTTCAAGCGTGAAAGTCAGCTCCCTTGCTCTAGGAAACTTTGCAATGTTATTTGAGCATGCAGCGAACTGCATTTTTTTCTCCTATACACTCGAAAATATTGTTTGCACAAATGCATGTGCACAGCAGCGTAACATCTGTGAAATGTGTCAGAACGCATGATGTGGAACGCACTGACGTAGGACGTGGACAGGTTTGCAAGCTCCTTACGCCCCCATTTTTTCCGAATCAGTGATATTTCTGTTCTGTAGTCATACTGTATATTCACTTTCACTAAAAAATCTCCATGACTACATACCTATTAAAGCTCTATGTTTACATCATATGCTTGATTCAGAACCAGCAATAGATAGTAGGCGTTGGTCTACGTTTATTACCATTCATAAAATAAATTTGTTCTTCTAATATTCATCATATTGCTGGTAAAAGACTGCAGAGCTTCGATAGACAAAATGACGAACACCACCTGGTCATTAATGAAGGGAAAAGCGTGGTAATATTGAAAAAGTAAATTTGCCAGTTTTTCTGATAGCGCAAGGCTTAAAAAGGAAGTCAAGCAAGTCGTGATCCTTGACTGTAATTTCCTTTGTTCGCCTGCGTTTTATTCTATGCAAGAAGCAAAGGGATGGGGAGTCTGAGAGATGAATCATGCTCATTCATGTCTTTTACGTACTCTCTCCCATCCTTCCCCCAATTTTACTCTTTAAATTTCAGCAAATTTGCTATGCACTTGTGTTTTAGCAGCTTCTGAAAGAGTTCCTCTTCAACCCTTCAAATGTTGTTCTCAGATAGATTGTAGTAATCCTCAAGTTCCTCCTCTACATCTGTTTTGACATACCACCGATTTTTTCGAACCTGTAGAGGTGCTTGCGTCAACAGAGGACTCTGCTTCAGCTTTAACAGCTGCTCTTAACTTCTTTGAGTTTGATTGATACCAAATACTTACTTCTTATACTTGATGGAAGAAGTCGATTTGCCCTCGAAGTATGTACTAGTACATAATGGCTAGTGCTTCAGAAGTCAGCAGCCCATCATAATTTAGAAGATTGCTAAAGGACCGGACAAGCTATATAAACCATCTATCTCCATATCAGTATTTAAATGTAGAAGAACAGGACATGGATTCCGAATTCGGGAGTGTGATTGAAAAACTTGAGCCTATCATAATTCAGAAGATTGCTAAAGGACCGGACAAGCTATATAAACCATGATCCGTGACTACGCGAAACAAAATGACCTTTAGGTGTTATCTCCGCACTCCCTTTCCGGTTTTTCCTGCGATTTTCAGTTTTTGAGTTTAGATCACTTTAGAGACTTGATGAGGCATTTCTCGACCGCATACGCCCCAATGGTGCTAAAAACAGACGTAAGTTGCTTAGCGGTTTTTCCGGTAGCATTGTTCCAGCTTTCACGAAGTCTGTTCTATGGAAGTTTTGACGAAGAAAAATGCGCGTGTCCTATTGAATTTGCTCCGTTTAACTTGCCTACCGAATAGATTTTATCTTGAAATGAGGCAAAACTGGATTTACAGGCAGGTGAATAATTTGGTTCAAACACAGGCAGCGCCCTCTGCCCTTATTCTTGCCTTTCCTAAATCGCGTTCTTTCATTTCTCGGTGGCCATGGGCTCAGGTATAATGATTCACATGTGAACAAGCTATTTTCTCTGATACTGTAGGACCAAACCAGCCTGCTAATATATATCAAGTGGCCCATAAGTCGTACACCAAGAAACAAAATTCATTTAAAACTTTGAGAACACATTATGACTTGTTCCACACTTTTGCTCAGATATGTTATGTGTTCTATTTGGACAGAAAGTTCTGCTGCACCATTTTAGAAAAATAGAAAATTCTTTTTGTCAGAATATTGCTTATAATTAATAATGTCAGTGTGAGTCATGTCCTTTCTAATGGCATCTTGTCTACTCTCTTAATCTCTGATTATAAGGGAAAAACGGGAAAATGAGATCTTCAAAGGTTTGCTGATTTGAGCCCGTTAGAAAGTCAAAGACTGCAATAAAATTTGAAGTGTCATTAACGTAAGTTTTCTGAACTCCTCTTCCAGCGTAAAAAGTTATGATGTTCGAAGAACATTAGGAACAAGAAAACTAATTTTTTTCCATTTTTCTCGAATTTCCAGCTTTTCATGTAATAGTAGCTCGCAGCACACATTGTACTCAGCTAGGAGGTGATAATTAGTAAACTTATAACACTGGCTGTTCTGAATTATTGCTTAGTTTCAGATTTTTAACGGGCTTACCTCATATCACCGAACCTTAAAAAGGCCTCCTTTTTCCAATATTATCTTTAAGATAAGAACTCACTAGAGAGAAAGCAAGATGCTACCAGACAGCACGTGATCAACTCTCTCCGATAGTAATGATTCCGTGCAAGATTATCGTGGCAGAACGAAGTTACTTTTTTTAGAACTGGTGCTAAAGGAGCTTTCGGTTAATATGTCCACATGTTTGAGATTTTACTCGAAACAAAATCATAGTTGAAACAGGAAAGCCAAGACCATTTTTGTAAGTAAAATTTATTTTCTTACTAGCCATTAGTAGTGAAACCCTATCAAAATTTAAAGGACATTCTACGGGATCTTTTAGCATATATAGAGACCAAAACTAAAAAGAAATCAGCTATAAATCGCCATGAGCCCTCACTAATTTTCGTAATTATCACTAAGAAGCAGTGGCGTACCCAGGATTCCGGCTCGGAGGGGGGGGGGGGGGGAGGCGCGGCAAAAAATTTTTCAGATGAGGGTGCGTGGCTAACGCAACGCACTCCGAAAAAATTTTAGGGGGCTTCTCAAAATTTTTGCGGGCCCCCAACCCCTAAAATCTGGAAAAAGGGGGCGTGGCGTCAGCCATGCCCCCGAAAAAATTTCTTTGTAAGGCTAATTTGAATTTTTAAAAAGATTTTAAAAATTATTTTAATTGTTCACACAAATAAACAAGTCACTTGCACATTTTTATAACCCACGTAAGTAACTTTCAAAAATTTCATGACCCGCTCTCGGGGGGGGGGGGGGCGCCCCCCCCCACCCCCCCCCCCCCCGGTACGCCACTGCTAAGAAGCGTACGATTTGTCGCCCCTAAGCAAAGTATTTAAACGAATTCGAATGAGATCATAATATTCAAGATTGTAGTGCAAGTATGGACTAACCGATTACATTCCTCAAAAATTGAGTATGTAAGGCGCAGCTTTTGAAGAGTTTACCACTTTTATAGCAGATGCTGGGATGAAGATTTGCTAACATGATTGCTTGTCAAGGCCTCTTAAAATTTGCACTGCTTTCGCTTTTTTAGGTCAAGTAAGAATAAGGAAGTCACACACTTTTCTCCGCTCACTTTTTTCCATAAGGGCGAATCAGCACTGCAAACGAGTCGTCTTATCACGAAAGGTTAACAGTCTTTTCTTCCTATGTTGCAATCCAGTTCGCTTGCTTTTCGCCCACTTTCGTATGTCGCGATCAGTTTATTTTGTGCAAATTAAATGAAGGGCTCATAAATATAAAATTAAAAAAATAATAGAACAGCTTACATATGAGCATGAAAATCAATTTTGGAATAATTTTGCCGGAATGTCCACAGTGGGTTGGTTTACACCGGCCAAAAAAATCGACTATGCGCCAACTATGCCGATATAAACTGGCACACGTGCAGCCTACATGTTCTTCGATAGCAAATTTTGCAAGAAGTTGATGGGGACAGATTGATCTGCTATAAGGGTCTCGGACACAGCTAAAGAATATAATTAGCAAGCGAGGGTGAAATAGCTAAAGCCCATTCCAGCATGAACCTGTCTGAGTTATAGGGTTTAGAGACATCATTTCATGACACAACTAGTGCACCTGCACCAGTTTTGATTTACCTCGACGTCTGTAGTCTGTCCCAATCCCAATCAAGCCAAAATTGGCATGTCGGGAGAGTCCGCGTCGCGAGGGTTTTGGTCACGTCTATGGCTAGCATGCGTGCTCTCTTTTTCATCTTTTCGCTTTCCCTGACAGCATATGCAGCGCAAACCCCTAGCGCTGCGAGCGCGCAAATTTCGCCAACGGTTTTGGGCTGGTCTCCCGATTCGGACAGACTGTAGAATCTCGTCCCAACGCAGGTAACAGTTTTGTCGCACCTGTGTTGGTTTTCTCTTTTATGTTTGTGTAGCAACAACTGTAACGCCATCCCAAAACGTTCTCTGCCGCAGCAATTACTCTTCCATGACGGAGAAATTGTAGAAAGCGGACACATGAACGGGAGTTTAGTGCTTCTCCGGAACTTGAATCCATCTAAGCCTACTCCAGCCCACTGTAAGGCCCTGGCCAGGCTTCGCTCAAAAGCGCCTAAAGGGCTCGAAAGCGCCCAAACTTCTTTAACCTCTCCTCACTCTCTCTCATCTCTCCTCAAATGAGAAAGTGAAGAGACACAAGAGAAGTTTGGGCGCTTTTGGGCGCTTTTGAGCGCTTTTGGGCGCTTCTGAGCGCTTTTGGGCGCTTTTGGGCGAAGTCTGGCCAGGGCCTAAGCGGGAGGGCTCTGCGAACGCAGCGCTGCGTAATGCCCCGCCTACAATTTTGTCAGCTAAATAGCGCATGAATTTTTAAAATGTTTAGTCAACGAGGCATTTCTCCTTTGAAACAGAGTATTATTGAGTTACTAAATAATTGGAAGTGTTACTAAATACAAAACTTTAAACGAAAATTCGTATAAAACGAATTTTGTGCGAGTGCGCACAAGCGCAATTTTCACGCGCAATCGTGCATTGATGTGTGGTTACAGTCGCTTCATTTCATATGATCATGTGTGTCATTGCACACACAGTTCACCTTTGGCGTCCCCATCCTGGATTCGTGGGAGAAACAAGCCTTCAGGTAAGTGTTTCCAAGGTGTTCTTAGTATTTTCTTTCCTTTTTAGTTACTAGTCACCTCAAATTGATGTAATCGATAACAATCGGTAAGTCTTTTGCGTTTTTGCGATTGCAAATTCAGGATGAGGACGCCAAAGTGGACTGTGTGTGCAATGGCACATATGATCATATGAAATGAAGCGACTGTACACAACTTAAAATCTGCTCGGTCATACTCGGTACTTGCGACTATAGTTGCGTTTTTGCATCCACTTTCGTGTTGGTTTTGTTCTGTTTTGTTTATATCAATATCATCAAGAAGTAGAAGCTCCATCTATCGAAATGTCTGTCGACGTTGTTTTCTCGTATCTTCTATATGTTTTTTTGCATCAAGTTTATAAGTGTGCAGGTCTATCCACTCTCATTTTTTGTCGCTCTTCTTGTTTGAACACAGTCGTTCTTAAGAACTGATAAGATAATATGGAAGTGCTCATATTTGCATATACATATTCTTGCGTCTATGTATGCTTTCTAATTGGGGTCTGACGAAAATCCAAGCGAGATTTTGGGTTGTGAGAAGTGTCCAGTGTCAGAGCGACTTATCCAACAATCAACAGCGTGAGCATCGACGCATGTGAAAGTGAGATTACATTTGCATGGTCAAAGGACGTTTCGCTGTGGCAAGTGCAGACAATGTTACTCTCTTTTTTTTTCAAATTGAATTGATTATGCATGAACCCATATATAACAGTGGTACATCTGTCAACATGTTTTGTCACAATCAGCCCTTGCCTCAGCCATTTTCACTTACATTTTACCTTTTTTTCAAATTCTGGTTGTTTCTATTTCTCTATTTGCTTCTGTATGCCTTGGTATGTTCAAAAATGGTTTACATCTCATCCACAAGGTGTATCTGTCATAGTTTTTGGCAAAAATGTGTTTTGCAACTCGCACCAACCAGATGTTATTCTGGGCCAAAGATGTTTATATTATGGGACTAGTGAAATCATAATCTGGTTTGGTGGCAGTAGATTTCGCATCAAGGTTTTATCTCATTGTAGCGTATCTATATAACCATAATACCGGCACGAAATACTTTGTATAGAATTATTGGATTCGCGATCGCGATATCTTGTGGTACTGCTTAGACTAAGCTTTTTATCCGCACAAAAGCCTCGCCGAGACTTTAGTGATATCATTCCTGGTCAAAAATGAGTAAGAGGTTACAACACTTTTTGCTAATAAGATTGTCTAACAACATAGGAATGACTACAGCTACTGCGTTCATGCGCTTTTTTTTCTTCACCTTGCTAAACTTATTCTCATTTGTACTTTATATTCACGCTCTAATTCTGCTGTCTGAGACAACTTCATTCGTTTCGGAAGTGCAGAGGTTTTATGGCAATCGCATGTGCAGTGCTCGGCGAATAGGAAATGCTCGAAAAAGCTTGCGGCGCCCCCCGCATTTGTAGTTTCGGAGGGTTAACAGGACTATAGGGCGTTTACCCGACGTGGTACAGCTGGACCAACGGGGTCGGATTTGATTAGCGTTGGACAGCGTCTGACGGGTCATATAGAGGCCGGGGGACGACGAGTATCGATCCCCCGCAGATGCAGCAGCAGCAGCCAAAGCTCGTTGCCTCCGGTTCACACTCTCTCCCGAACCATAATCGGCTTCCTCATTTCTCGATCGATGTCACATTGATTGCTGCCGTTTCACCGAATCGCTTTTCGCTGTTCTCGTCGGCAGCAGTATGGTGACACGACCTGTCCGCTGTAGATCTCAGACTCTTCTCTTTCTACTCGTAGCGCAACTCGTTTCTCTCGTGCATAACTTCTTATGGGTGCGAAGTATTATGGGATTTGAGGCATTCGTTCTTGAATGTGTCCATGTTTTGGTCTTGAACATTCTCAAAACGTGGGAAAAACATAATATTCTAAAGAAACCTATTGGGATTGAAGATTTTCTTCCTGTATGAGCTTTGAATAAACTTCCATTTGTCACTCGCCTACGTACAGCTTTTTGATTTGTTATGAATCTTTTGCAATGTAAATTCGCAGAAACTCCATCTGTTACACCAAAAATCCAGCAATTCTATTTCTGATTCGATATTTGCGGGTACAGTCAAGAACGCGCACAGATCTATCACATCCAGAGCGTGTTCGCACTAAATCTCACACTTCTCACATCGTGAATATCGAATCTTTCCCGAGCCATCTGCGTAAAATATAACAACAATTTCTTCAGTTTTCATGGTGAGTATTTGCAATCATCATTTCGGTGAAGGACAAACTGGTAGTTTTCTCTGCCATCAACATCATTGCCCTTTAACAATTCTACTTTAGTGTTTGTCATCTGTTCTATGCACAGCCTATTTCGATTGGTGCAATCGTTTCCGTAAGTTGGAAGGCGAATTTCTTAGCAAACAAGTTTTCTTCAGAGTGCATTCCAACTGCTTTTTTCTTTTCTTTTTTTCCTACCCAGGTTGCGCGCACTTCTGTTTGTTTCTGCTTTTTTCAAGATTACTTCTAACACCTTTCTTGAATTGATTGATACCGGCCGTTCAATCCATCACGGGTTATAGTACAATCACCTCTCTATAACATTTCTGTCGTTCACTCGTAATGTTATTGCTCATAACCTATTCGATCTGCACATCGAGAGTGTCATTCGGCGATAGTATCAAGTGTCGTCGAGGCTATAGGCCTTTAGCCTTTGCCCTTCGTGCCTAAGCGACTATTCATGAGCGACATTTTTCTGCTGTGTCTACGTGCAATAATTCTGCAAAGCGGATCATTTATCACCATTTTCCGCCGCTTGCGGCGGGGTCTGCAATGAGTTGGCAGGAAAACAGCTAGGGAATGCTATATGGCTGCCATAAACCTGCAAAAATAACTATGAGCAATCATTTGCATGCTTGCGCTTCATTGTTCTTCACACCTATGCTATAATGATACGAATTGTGAGTGTAAGCGATCCTTAGGCTTTGGCCTCTTTACCCGTGTTACACGTGTTATCGTTGTTAACAGTGTTACGTGTATTACCCGTGTTACCAGTGTAATCGTGTTACCAGTGTTAGTCGCCTAGTGTTACTAGTGTTACCGTTTTTATTGCTTTTAAGTAGTGAAATGATCACTAATACAGTAACACGAGTAACATTAGTGACACTAGTAACACTGGTAACAGGTAACACCGGTAACACGAGTAACACCGTTAACACGGGTAAAGTATGGCCAAAGCCTTATTTCTTGATGCCGCGGTATGGTTCCTTGATGCTAGCGAGTAGTAAATCAAATATCCCTAGGTACATGTTCTCCTTTTACATTTTCAATTTCATTGAACTTGCAGCACCTTCGTTCCTTAGCACTCAAGGTTTGTCGGCGTCTTGCAAAGGATTCGGCTATTTTCTTTTCTTATAGTCTTTTCAACACGAGAGCTTTGAGAGTTTATGATGTCACGATTCTGATGCTTTTTTGGTCATCTATTCGTTGCATATTTTGCAAGCTCCTGCTTGTTCCCTCTTCATTTATCTCGCTTCTTTTCTCTGATCATGCTAATCTACACTTTGACTGCACCGCTCTAAATGCAAATGAGTAATAGGGCACTTCTTCATGATTGAGCAAACATACTTTGTCGTTCTCAAATAAAGTCAAACATTTCGAATCAGTGGAGAATGATGCATTGTGGATGAAGACCCTAGTGTAGCTATTACTAAGTTGTTAATATAGAATACAGCCAGATATTTGGTACTTTTCCGCTCGCTAGTCATTATCGGCCGGTTGCAAAAACTCTTACGACTCATTGTCGAGCTTTTCACTTTCTATCAAGCAACCTTTCTCCTGTTTATTTTGTTCGCACTAACCGGTAATGCTGAACTTCGATGTAAAGCAAGGCACGCCCTTTTGAACTTGAGCAAGCTCAAAGTAAAAGAAAATCCTAGTCAGCCAAGAGTACTGATCTGCGGTGTAGTGGCATTTGAATGTGTACATGGCTTATCAATTTTGAACTTTGGTATACCCTTTTTGTCGAAATACTTGCGCTCAGAATTTGGATTGGAATGCAAGATATGAAAACGCGCGCTCTGCGGTCATTCCTTAGGTAGGTGCCAGAGTAAGCGAATATTTTGTTCAAGTTGGGGTCCGGCGCAGATTTGACATCACTTGGATTGATGCCAGTATGATGAATGATGTCCATTCTGCGCGAGACCCCAACCTGAACAAAATATTCGCTTACTCTGGCACCTACCTTACCTTGCAAGTAATTTTGGTACCACGAGTACAAATTTTTCATAAAGCAGTAGTTGTCCGGCACCACATAGTCACTATATCATCCCTGAAACTACCAAAACACCCTTTGTCTACGAGCTTCCTTCCATGGATCTTGTTTTGGTGGACTAGGGGAAAAAGCTTGCCTTAGGTGCTTTGTCTCGCTAATGGACTCGCTTTAGCTGACAAATTGGGGAACATTTCCGGTACGGTCCTTTCATCTGTAAATGTTCTTGAGTCATTTCCAAGGTTTTATGTAGTGTACAAAGCTGTGACATCTGTTATTTTCCTAGTTCGTTTTATATAGCAATCAGTTTTTGTTACTTCTGACATTATATTGAGCCCTGAGTGAAGAACAGGCCTCGTATGATTGACTCTGAAGGCTTCCAAATCCATTGAAATCATTTCTTGATATACTTCTCTCAACAAAAAAAGCTTATCGGTTTGCACTTTTAAAAGAGTAAGCATGAGAGAGGAGCTGCTTTGATCGCTTACACAAAGGCTGTCTGTTGTGAAAAAAGCGATAAGATAAGAGAGCTTCGGAGGTGTGCCACTATAGGGCAACTTATAACTGGGAGATAACACAACACGTCGCTATGAACGTTTATTGCGAGACTGAGGAAGCTTACAACCGAAAAGCCCCGTTGACCCCCGAACCCGCCCGCTTTACTGCGGGATGATTTATGTATAGGTCGGTTCGGCCACAATACGTAGCAAATGGCCGAACATTATGTAGCTTGCACTTTCAAGCATCAACGACGATTTTATTGCCAATGTCGTTTCTCCTTCGTGTGTGTACGTGTACAGTTCCATAGCCTCGGATTTGATTTCCATGAGGCTTGTTGAGATTGGAAGATGGTTTGAACGCTCGAATCTCAGTTTTGCAAACGCATTGTCGGGACAATGGCACGTGTGTGGGGCTTGTGGATTTTCGCACATACATATCATATGATCCGTGCATTTAGCGAAATTTTCGGTTGCCATGTTTTTGTTAGCACATTGAACCGGGAGCAAGTAGTTGTCCGGTACTAAAAATGCTTCATTTTCTGCAAGTGCAAATCTTTTCTCCAAAAATGGATAATGAGGTTTTTGCACTGTAATTGCTGTTATCGACATTTTACCGATTCCTTGCGTAGTATACGGTATCAAAGTGATATTTTCCACTTTTTTCAAGTTTTGTATCTGGGTTGCTATTTCTAGTTCTATGATTGGTTCCCAATCTAGGCAGCTGATAACTTCATAAGCTGTTTCTGTCAGTGGGACGTGTGCTAGTCGCATAAACGAGCACGCAGGCATAGGTAATAAACATCCACACTGCAGTCCTCCGCATGTTGGAACACATGTGGAATAACCCGGATAAGGTCGGGTTTCGTT